CACGAAATTCCGAATATCCGTTACAAGCAGCTGACTTGTTTGATTCGTCTTGGTGATGCCCCGTTACGTTATTAAAACGTTTATTTTGCCACAAATTCTTATGCCTGTAGCTTCGGGTACAAGGAGAACCCGCACTGGCGACGTCGAGAATCCGTAAGTTTCCGCATAATCATGTGATCTGAGAGAATTTCTATCAAGTGTTATCATTCACGGCAATGTAGTTTTATGCCTTCAGAATTAGATGCTGTGGTGCAAAGGAATAAATATTCGAAAAAAACAAATGAAACTGCTGACCAATGGCAATGGGTTTTCCATACTGTTCATGTTAAGGTATGCAGCATTGTCAAGAAGGTATATTCAGTGTTAGATGAAGTACTAGAGAAGCCTGTTTCATAGCATCATTGTGAATATGTTCACTTTAAAGTCAATAGGTGAGCTGATCTCCTGGATTTTACTGTCTGTCCAGATTTTCGATGCCATCATGGCAGTCGAGAAATTTGAGTAATTCGGGGATTGATATATGTTCATATGGTGAGAGGGTCAAATGAGTGAATGGGGTTGCTAATTCTTGCTTATTGGGTGGTAATTTTCGTGTGAGCATGGTTTCATCGCTTCGAAAAGAAAGGGAAGGTTTAGAATTGGTAACTTATATTCCTCACTTGTGTCTTGTTGTCATCACTGGTTATCTCGATGATGTGGATATTCAAGGATCTGAGCTAGACCCTTTGATCGTTTAGCATTCAGATTACCAGATTATTCGGTAAGTTTTCATCATGGTCCAGTTTCCTCATAGTCCAATTATATCTTCATGTTGCAGCCATCTGAAATTTTGGCGGAAAAACAACAAAAGCAGGTGCAGCCTCTGCACCTTTGGGGTTGGAACTTGTTTAAATGTTGAGGGTTCCTAATATGTTTGTGGTTCTGGTTACAACATTAGTGGTGCCGTCCTGTAGCGTAAAGTTAAGCTATCTTGTGAACCTAGTCTAAGTGCTTGATTCTCCTACTTCCCTGGGCAAGCTGTTCCATACCTGAGCATATTTTATCACAAAGAAGTTCTCCCTAGTGACTGTTCTGAAATGCTCAGTTGCTACCTTTGCAGTTAAATTGCTTAGCCCATATGCAGTTTTGCTTATGAACCACGTGTCTGTGCATGTGCCGTAAGTTAACCTGTTGAGGAGCTTATAAAACAGTATCAGGTTCAGTCTGAGCCATCTTTTCCATAGTGGTTCAAGTCCTAGGATGTTGTACCTGGTGGCATATTTTACGTCCCTATTCATGTTGAGTATTCTCATCGTAAAGTATCTCTGAACTCCTTCGACTTTCAGTCTATCCGTAACCCTTACATTGCTGAATATAAATGAACACTATTTGAGCAGTGGTTGGACACATGTTTTATGCAGGATAACTCTAGATTCGATACTGTAGAAGTTCCGTGATAAGAAACACACCAGTTTGCGTGATTTCGACACCTGTGTGGATACGTGCTCAGAGAAGCTAGGTTGTGAGAATACCGGAGCCGTAAGTCTTGTACAGACTTAAGTTTTTGGAGTGAATTCCCGGTTATCATTAAGTTTAGTTCGAGTCTATAGTCACCTATGCATGCCAGCTACATTTTCTGTGTTAAATTCGAGTCGCCAGGTGTTGCACCATTTGCAAACATATCTTAGTTCCTCTTGCATAGTGCTAATGGTCAGGGTTAAGTCACTGCTAAGGTATGTGTATACTACCTTCAGGTCGTCTGCATATAAGAATGGCTTGCCTACCTTGAAACACTCACATATGCTATTGATGTATGTCATGAAGAGAAGTGGACCCAAGACGCTGCTCTGGACAACTCCACTGGTAATTGGTTTAGGCTTTGAGATAGCTGAACCAACTTTTGTTATTTGGTGACGGTTGCGCAGAAAGGATTTTAACCAGTCTAAAAGCGGATTACAGATCCCAAGGGATCTTAGCCTATTGATAAGCGAGTTGTGTGGGACTCTGTCGAAGGCCTTAGTGATGTCGAAGTAAAGTATTATCACCATCTCTTTCTGATCCTCTTTGCTAGTGATCTCGTTAAAAAAATCAGACAGGTTTGTAGTGCAAGGGCTTCTTCCCAGAAAACCGCATTGCGACAAGTTAATGTGTTTGGATTCCAGCAGGTAATCAGACATTTGATTTTTAATCACCTTTTCCATAATCCTTGAGACGACTGCGGTTATGCTAACTGGTCTGTAACTGCTAACGCTGATCTTGGCTCCTGACCTATGTTTTAGCAGTATATAAGTAGTTTTCTACTTGTCAGGATATGTTCCAGAATCTAATGAGAGGGTAACTATTTTGAGTAATGAAACTGCTCCATGCATGCCAGCCTTTCTATAAGTTATTGACGATATCTCGTCTGTCCCACAGCTAGCATTTGCTTTTAGGGTTTCAAGAGGACCCTTAATGTTACGCTGAATTCTATGCTGCCCATCGTACTACTTGTGCTGGTTATTTTGATGTCTGGACATGTCAGTACCATTAAGAAACCACTCCCTGAGAAGTTCGCAAATCACCTGTGGTTCATGGTAACCTATGCCTTTATGCTCTAGATAATTTATTAAAAAGTCTTTTTTATTTTTTTCGCTTTCACAGGATGGTGCAAAGGTTTTGTGTTTTGGACAAATTGTCAAGGGCTCTATGCTCCCCAGTCAGTGCTTTCACTCGTTATCCTTTTTGGAGTGAAACGAATGTTGTATGCATCTGATTCAGTATATGAAATTCTTCCAAAACAAATCGCTTTTTTCTTAGTCCTCTCAGTCTGTATCGAGTTTTCCTATCTATATATAAAGTTGTTTTCAGGCCAAGCCTGGTGGGTGCAATTGTTTCCGGAGCGGAACAAATAATCTCATAGAATTCATCGGGGGTTTGAGACAGATTGCCATTAGTGAAGAAGTCTTCCCAATCGGCTCATCCTATAAGTGTCTGGAGGAGCTCCCAGTCAGTATTCTTGGTGCCCTTGTATAGGTAGTTTTTTGGTATTACTTCGTTTGCGGCCCCGAGAGCTACTAGAAGCGCTGTGATCGCTGTTTGTAAGTTCTTCTCCTACCTGTACGGACAATGGCTCAATGTTGTGACAAAGTATCTGGTCAACGGTGTTATTGTTTCGCGTACCTCGACCAAACGTCTTCCGAATATGAGGCCACAACTCCAAAGTTTACGAACAAACTGGACTTACTTAAAGAAACTGACTAAATCTGAGAAGCATATAATAATTTCTGTGCTCATTTCACAGTGGTTCACCATACATACGCCTCCTTTCAAGTTTCCCGCTGGAATTTGACCCGCTTAAGAACTATACCATTTCGTGGTCGCAATCTTTTTGCAAAGAAGTCGTTCTGGTGCTGTCATCCACTTCCTCGAAGCTCGTCAGATCCACGGTCAGAAGTTTAACTGTATGCAAGATGAAAATGGTACTCCATACAGCTGTTCAGTACTGAAAGTTGCCTTGTATGGGTGATCCGTGGGAAGCCATCCACAGACTTTAATTAAGGTTGTGGCATGTTTGATCACATTTTCCGCATCCTTAGCAATTCTCAGGGTATATTTAGGCCATGCAGACGGCTGAATGAATCCCTCCACTAAAGCTCGATACTCTAACTTTCTCGAAAAACTAGGATTACCAAGAAAGCGAAATAAACAACTCACTTCAGAAATGAGCAAGACCCTTCCCAACTGCACTGCGTCATCAAAAGGAAGAAATGCTCGATATGTGGCCTTCATTTTTCTCCATGCTGGAAATTTACCGTGTCCTTATCAAAACACAAACAAGTTGGATCCGACCCGTCTTTTCAACCAATGAAAACGGAAAATCAGATAGTGTGGGGTTGTAGGCGTTCAAAAGGCCCTGGAATATGTAGATTGAGAAGCTGATAGTTATTCATAGGAGATGAATGTCCGCAATATTTTCACGCAGATCACATGGTTTCAGAGAAGGGTGTTCATGTGTTATCCGTTTGCCAAGCATAGTAGGCGGGGGATCGCATTGCTGATGACTGGACCTATGTAGATGTACTGAGCCTCAATTTTCAAGAGGCTTTGGACGGCGTTAATTATGACCGCCTTTCCATCGGGTCAAGGATGAAAAATATCTCTTCTTTATCAATAATTTCACCGCCATAACACGTTTCTTCCACCAAATCTGACGTTCATGTGGATTCTGACGAGTCTAACTAACCGAGATACCGAATTTGATATTTTCCGGATTAATATTCATGACTCACCTTTGAGTTTGCATGCTGAGATTCATGTCTTCACTGACGATGTGAAGCTGGGCGGAGAAATCGGAAATGAAGATGGAGCGCCAAGTCCACAAAAGAATTTGACCTGACTTCAATCATGATGGATACGTGACGACAAACCTACAGCATGGTGCCTATCCAAAACTCAGACTCAACGAGATAGAGATGACTGCGTCTTCCTAGAAAATAATCTTCTGTGGCATTGTTCCTTAATGACCTAAAATCTTACGCTGTGAAAGAAACTTGTTCAGGGCCAATGTAAGACTTCTAACATTGGGACTAACACCTAGAAAATCAGACCACTGCCTTCACACCAAATATTTAATGACTTATTGAGCCCCCACCCAGAGTTTAGGATGCCATTCTTCTTCTCTTCACTACAACGAGTAGAGAAACATTTAGGGAGCATCCAGAGGCGCCGCGCTAAGTCACATCTAGATCTACTAGCACTAAATTCTCTCAAGCTTCCTCCATGGGTATGTTACTATCCACAGTCTGATGTAGTAGCGGAGAAAAGTGTTGCAGGTCAGTTGCTTCCTTTTTGGCGTGTGAGAACAAATTGTAGGAGTGATGTTTTACACTCCATTTAGCAAGACCTAGAAGTGAGCGCGAAGAAATCACTTGGTTAACACTAGGTCATAAAAATATATTGAATATAGCATCATTTAAAAAATTTTAGTCAGACTCGTTAAAGACTTTCGGAAATAAATTAGGGGTTGGCAGAGCGCAGGTTTTAACCGAATGCGTTCCCCATTTTGACGATATACGCAGCTACAAGATACTGTGAGCCTGATTCTATACATGTTACCGATTTTGATCTTTGGAACCTTAAAAAAACTTTTCAAATTACTAAATTCTTCACTTTTAACAGCGTACGTGGCTCCTAATGCTTTTGCAACTGTTCCGGAACAGATAATTTAGAGAAATTATCGAGGAATCTTTGGGAAATTTTTCGTGATGATGGGGATTGAAAGTACTGCAAACTTCCTAAGAGTTTTGGAAAGAACTGCTCAAAATTTTATGCACGTACTACTTCGTATTGCTTTTGACCGTTGTTTCCTTCATCTTTCATCTTACTACTTTCTTACTTGTGGTACTGATATGAGGTGTGGCAACTTAGACCATTGTACAGTAATGCGTGGTCCTATGTTGACGTTAATTGGCTGAACAATAGTAGTGGTACTGCAAGTAGCCTGCTTTTCATTTCTTCTGTTCGTGAAATATGACTGGAGGGAAGGTAACTCATTTGATGAGGTAAACGACTTACTGAGGTAGCCTAGACGTGTTTCGCGCATGCCTAGTCACCGTCCACCTCGGCCTGCGGTGTTAGTCAGTGTGGGATTAGGTTTGGGAAAAACCAAAGTTGGTCACTGCATGATGTGACACCTATTAATAATGTCTCCGAACATTGCTTTAAGCTTTGCTGATTATTTGGCTGGGGTTCTCGATATGATAAGAATAAGTACTTGAAGGCTTCTCGTGATGTGGTTCAAAGCCATTCAAAAGTCTATACATGTAGACTGCTTGTCATCTCTCGAAATTGGTACTTTTCGCTAATCTTCATTGATTTTTTCTCCCATCCAATTTGTCCACTTTAATGTTATTCTTTTTATCCACCTCATTGCATGCTGATGTAAAGTGTAGCAATTTGATATGACACTCTTCTATGCCAGATTCTGCTTTTTTTGAACTGTTCACTTTTCCCTTGCTTTTTTCCTTAAGCAGATATTCGTAGACTAAAAGCTTACTTGTCAGTATAAACCTAGTCAACTGAAGAAATCGGAAACGTTAATAAATTTTCACAATGGGGATGTGGGACATGAAAATCCAGTTTCATTATTCCACAGCAGGCAACGTTTTAATAATAAATAGTGAGAATACTTGTATAGGTGTCAAAATAGGAGTAAATGGGATTCTTAGTTCAGCTGACATATTAACATACATTTGGTAGTTGTTTCTACTCAAGAAATCTACCTAGACTCGTAACTAATTATCGAGTGTTTAACTGGCTTTGTAGTGATGAATACGAAAGGTGGAGCGAATTCTCATTTGTAAACCTTCACCACCTCTAAAGTCTGCAGTCAGCTATTCGGTGACGTTTATATAGAGCTACTTACGTTATATCGTTTCTACTTGTCCCATTTTTACTTTCCATATACGTGCTTATGAAGGTCAACCTACTGCGTGACTTCAAAAGAATTGTTCTCTTTGTTATAGATCTAACTAACTTACGACTCAGAGTACGTATTATTGTCAGGTAAAATTGTTGATAGAATGAAGTTTCCTGAACTCTTTCAGTGGTGACTTTAGGATTTTTATGGTGTTTCTCACCTTCTGACCGTTGGCTGAGTTTTCTGAACGCGTTGAGGAGGAACCTGAGTATCATAGGTTTCGGACCTGTCAAATGTGAGGTGATGCTTCAAGACTAGTCCACAAATACGGCTAGTGTAAGGGTAGGGAGTGGAGTGGTGGAATGTGTCGACCCCTTCACTTGGAAAGTTACATCAGCCCGGACGAGCTGATCGCTGACGAAATCTCAGCTCAGATACAAAGGGCCCGTTAAGCATTTGCCAACTTACGTCATCAGTGGTGACAGTGGGATATCCGAGTATCTATCAAAGGACTTGTATACTACACTACAGTCCCTTCTGTCCTATGATACGGCTGAGACGGCTTCGAAGTCAAGGACATGAAGTGATTACAGAGTGTTGACCATAGATGTCTACTTGGGAATTTCTGGCATTGTGGTGGAATCACCGTGTGAGAAATGTTGAAGTCAGACGAATGGTACTAACCCAGAGAGGCACATCGATTGACAAGGCTGTGAACTTTCATCGGCTGAGGTGCCTCGCATATGTGTTGCGCATGCCGAATCACCGTTTACCCCGACGTCTCATGCTAGTGGAATTTTGATTAGGTTGGAAGAGGCTTCAGGGTGGCCAGACCAAAATGTGACAGTAGTTAATGTAGTCCCTAGCCGTTTGCCTGAGCCGTGTGGCGAGATATAGACTGCCTGGTTAGGGTCTTTGAGAATTGTTGGTAACGTGACTCCAAATTGATCGCAGTGGCGCAGATGTATTGACTCTCTGACGTCTAAAGCTTAAATATTCTCACTAACCTTTATCTTCAAATCGTTTATTTTGTCGCAACTTTGTCTACTTCAGCATCACTTTTTTTCTATCCACTTGTTCTTTTCATACTTCTGGGAGGTGTGGCAACTTGAACCGATCCACCTGTATGCGAGGTTCCTCGTTGATTCTATCTGTCTGTGACAACTCTGTCAGCACTCAAGTTTCACCAGATCATTGTCGACCTTCAACATTTCTGCCTTTTAATCTCTCTTCACATATCTCGGTTAATATTCCCATGTCACGTTTAAATTCTTTCAGTTCTTTAGTCTTTAAACCGCACTTCAAACTTCACCTCCGAGCTTCCAATGTCCGCACTCTCCGTGAGGTCGAACAACAAGCTTCGCTAGCCAAAACTCTGGCATCTCGGGCCATGAACATCTACGGTGTTTGTGAGACACGTGCACAGGATTTAAGTGTGGTTATTTACCTAACCTGACCTCACCTTGACAACACGGTAAATCTGGGGAATTCACCTTTTGAGTTTCTGGAGATACAATGACTGGCTGTCCCAATCTTGCAGGTGTAGCAGGAAATGCACTGTTGATATGGATCCCAGCTGATGTTCGCCCGTGTGCTGTTTGACTGGATGATGCGTTGAGCACTACAAAGAATAGCAAGAATTACCGATTTCTCTTCGAAGTCTGTCGTCACTCACTCACTGATTGCAGTTCGGATGAAGTCAAGGATGATTTTTGCCGAAAACTGTCCAGCCTACTGTTGAAAGCCCAAACATTGAGTAGGAGTTGCCGTAGCGTATGATTTCAGTATGCAGGTAGATAGGTTCAACCAGACAGAAAGGCACTTTAGCAGCAATTTCGGAATCCCAGTCAAACGGACGGATGACGACGGTTGTCTGCTGCAACTGTACTCTAACAACAGTCTATTTCTGACCAACATGATCTTCAGCTAATTGACTTCAACTAAATGGTGGATACAGATCGTTTCGCTATCAGTTATCGTTGGGGACTGTCAGTCGAAGATTGTCGCTGTTTGTGGAGCACTTGTTTGGACAGTGATCACCTTTCGGTTCAGGCACGTATCCGTCTGCGGCTTAAGGAACTTAAAAATCTACAGCTACAGAAGCATTTGGAGAGCACGTTAACAATTAGAACATGAAAGCTGCTTCCAGCACTTAGCTGGTTAAATGGCGTCTGGTGGAGATAGCATCTGTCATCAAAAGAATTCCTGCATCAACTATATTCTGCTGTAAAAGCAGCGTTCAGAATCGTAGCTGATTCTCAGAAGAGGCTAGAAGGGTCAGTGGATCTCAGGAGCTTCTTTTGAATCAATAAATGCATGTGAACACATTCATGCAGACTCGGAACACAATGAGGAACGGAAGTAACTCAAATGTAAACTTACAAAATGTCTGCATAAAGACCGTAAGCAGTATTGCTCAGCAAAGACTGAAATGAAAAAGACAGGGACGATAAAGAAAACTACCGCAAACAAGTCAGTGGTTAATGAGGACATAAAAAAAGAATTGGTTTACGCTTCACTTACTGAGGAGGTAACTGGTAAATGGTCAACAACAGTTAGTGAGGTTATAGCGGAGAAGGACGGATCGGCGATTCACTCGCAGGGAAGGCGACTGGGACGATGGGCAGAACACTTTGAGGAACAGTTTAACTGGCCTCCAGCCACCATTGCGCTGCCCGCTATCCAGTCGGACCCTGAATGGGACATAGAGACAGGTCCCCCAACACTAGAAGAAGTCGAGAAAGCGGTAGGTAGCCTGAAACGGGGAAGGGCAGCAGGACCAGACGGACTACCTGCTGAGGTATACAAGAATGGTGGTAGAGTTCTCTTAGTCAGGCTAACGGAAGTGTTAGCCAGTATATGGGAATCAAATACGATCCCCTCCGACTGGTCTAAGTCACTGATCATCCCAGTCTTCAAGAAAGGCGAGAAGTCCTCTTGTGATAACCACAGAGGAATCAGCCTGACAAACATAGTGTCTAAGATCCTAAGTTCTATAATTCTCCGACGCCTGAGTGGAGCTCGGGAACAGCAAGCCCGAGAAAACCAGGCAGGCTTTAGACCTGGCCGTGGATGTATCGACCAAATATTCACACTGCGCCAGGTCCTGGAACATAGGCATGCTTACAGACGCCCGACAATAGCTGTATTTCTCGACCTGAAGGCGGCATTTGACTCCGTTGATCGAGAAGTCTTATGGCAGTGTCTGTCACTGAAAGGCGTGCCTAGTAAGTACATCACCTTATTGAAAGCTCTCTACTCGAACACTTGTGGGCATGTTAGAGCCTATGGTGAGTTGTCCAGGGAGCTATACTCATCAAGTGGTGTCCGTCAAGGATGCCCACTATCCCCATTCTTATTTAATTTTATCATAGATATTCTTATGGAGGTTTCCCTCTCGTCACCTAATTACAAAGACGTTGACCGGACCACAGGTGAATTTTCCTTAGATCTAGAATATGCAGATGACATAGTCCTGTTAGGTGAAGACGCTGACAAGATGCAGAGTCTTCTGAACACTTTGAGTGGGAATTTGAGAATGTTTGGGATGCGATTTTCACCACCCAAATGCAAATTTTTGCTCCAGGACTGGTCTTCAGCGGTACCGCGGTTAACAATAGAGAGTGAAGTGGTTGAGTGTGTTGACCACTTCACTTACCTGGGAAGTAGGAT